GGATGCCCCCCTCCGCGAGCAGCGCACTGACCAGCCCCCCCCCCCGCGCCCCCCCCCCCGCTCCCGCTCGCGCGCACCCTCTCCGGGCCCGCCGGCACCATCTGCGGTGGCCCGAGGACCGGGGGGGGGGGGCGACGGGCGTTGGGCGAAGGAGCCCGGGGGGCGGGTCCGCCTGTTCGGCGGAAGGCGGGGGCAAGAAAAAAAGCCCCAGCACCAACACCCCGACGAAGGGGTGGCCCGTTTTGCGGCCGATCCCCGCCAGTGGCCCGGAGCCATCGTGTTCGGACCAAATCCCCTCCCGCCGGCGCCCCGGGCACCCCGAGCGGCGACGGCGAGAGGGGGGGCTCGATGGCTGGTCGCCCGCCCTTCGGAGGCCGGATTCCGGGAAACAGGCCCGAGCCCACAAAAAAGCGCGCCCCCGCGTGAGATCCGGCCCCGCCTGGCCGGCCGAAGGGCCCAATCTCACACGCGGATCACGGATTCATGGGCTGGCCGCTGGCTTCGGCGTTTGGGTGTACGTGCTGCTCCGGGGGCTCGGCCAGCCGAGCCAGCCCCCTACGCGCCCGTGGCAGGGCGGCCACAAGCACAAGTGCTCAGATCGCGCCCGCGCTGAATCGTGCGCCTCTATTTTTATTTCCCCCCCCCGCCGCCCCCCTGCCCCGCGACCCCCCTCCGGCCTCTCACGCCCCCCCCCCGGCTCCCGCCCGACCCTTTCGCGGCTTGCTCGCGAGCGTGGGTCCCTGCCCGGAGCAGTGTGAGTCAGAGTCATGCTTTTGCTTGCCCATGGTGTAGGCCCACCCGCCCGCTTCGCCCCCTCCCCGTGCCCTGTCGCCGAGGCCCGACGGAAGAAGCACCCGCGCGTGTGGACTCGGGGGTGTTCTTCTTTCGTGAGATCCACCTCCGACTCCGGCATTCTCTCTCCTCCCGCCCCGCCCCCCCCCCCCTCAAATATACGTGTCTTCGGCAAGAGACGTTTTGTCCGGGCACCGGTGGCTGTTCGCCGGATTCAGGTTCCCGGCCCGGGCCGCCGTGCCCGGGCAGATGTAAATCCAGTGGCGTCCGCCGCCGAGGGGGCCGTGCGCACATGTGCGCAGGCCCGGCTGGATGGGCCGAGGCCAGCAGGCCCGCGCCGCCGGCAGGCCGATCGTCTGGTGGGGATCAGCGAGCGCCCCGGTGCCGTGGACAGCTTGCTCATTCAGCCGGCCAATTTTGGTCGGTGAGGTTGGTTTTTCGGCCCAATGTTTGTGGATCTGCACTCATAAGGGCCCCTCCCCAAACCTCCCCTCTTCGCTCGACCCGACCGGCCCCCGGGCCTCGACGGTGAGCTGACCTGCTCCTCGAAGCCCTTGAAAACGGGTGATTTCCCCCTCCCGGCTGAGCACCTCTCGCGGGCAGTCCCCCCCCCCACTCCGCCTGTTCCTTCACCCCCAGCCCTCTCAGGCGGCAAAGTTCTCGGCCGCAAGAGCGGCAGGGCGTCCGGGATTTCGCGAGACGTTTTCCCCGCTGGCCCAGCTCGATGCACCACCAAGCTCCCCCCCCCCCCCCCCGCCCCTCGCATCCCCGGATACTGTGTCCCCCCACGGTTGGCGGATGCCCGGGGCCGGCCGGCCGGCCGGCTGGCCAGCCTGGCAACTTGCCCTGCCCCTGCCTCCGCACACACCCATCGAAGTGCCCACATTTGGCCTTTGGAAGAGGCCCCGACGCCGCAAGGTGAGCACGCCGGCCTGCTTACCCATGTCCTGACATGCCCTGAAGGCGTTGCAGCGGCCGACGGCCCTGCCTCCGGGCTGGGAGCGGGAGAGGGTTTCCACCATCGGCTGCTTGTAGGGGCCGGTGTACAGGGGGCGAGGGCGGGGGCCGCGGGGGCGTGTAGCTCCCCCGCGATGGGTGGCCCCTGCCCGAACTTGGGCACGTCGCACCAGAGACCGATGCGCGGAAACGGACCGACGTCCCTCTGCCCGCCCTCTCTTTCTATCTCTGTCTCTGTCTCTCTCTAGCTCTCTGTCTCTCTGTCTCTCTGTCTCTCTCTCTCTCTCTCCCCCCCCCCCGCTCACACCCACATGTACACGTAAATATGCATGCACTTTACTTGCGGAGGCCTGGGCGTCGGCATGTGGCTGACCAGACACCAGCACCGTGCTGGGGGCCGG